CCGTCTGTGATCATATCTGGTCTCTTCTTCCTCAGTCAGAAGTGGCATTGGATCACAGGTGCACAGTGGCTGCAGTCGCCTTTTAGCTGCGGGGCTACAGGCAGCTCAGTGACTGAGACAATCAGTCACCATTTACTTCGAGGACTTCAAGCTGTGCCAAATCACAGTGAATACCAGTGAAGGACACACCCACTGCTGCCACAGTCTGTTTTGTTGTTCTCAGCCATTTGAAGTCAATACTGTTATCCCACTTTTATTCTTGAGGGCAATCCTTTTGCATGTAGCAGCAGTAAGTATATTTACTATACAGTGCTCAACATGCACATCACTTGTTATGCTGTGCTTGACAGAGTGTAGTGCAGGTTTGGAGTGCAGTTTTCCAGACTCAGCTCAGTGACATTTATCCCCAGAGGACACACATATGGGCACACAGCTGTGCAGAAGATTTGAGGAATATGCTGGTCTGAATGATTTACCTGAGAAAGAGTCTTAAAATACACTCTTGCACCGTATTGCCAGCTTTCAGCACAGCTGCCAAAACATGTCAGGGCTGAAAAGTACCATTTTTGAAGTCAGAGGGAGAGGAGGGTTAATTTGCTGCCTTTGTACTCCTGTCCTTACCCATGGCTGCCCCCCACATAATCATAATTAGTATGGCGTTTTAGCACCACCTGCAAAATGAAGTGGACTCCCGCAGAATCTGTGCCTGTGTGTGTGTGTGTGTGTGTGTGTGTGTGTGTGTGTGTCTGATTGCTCTGTATATGTGTGTATGCGTGTTTGTATGTGTACAGATGCACTTTAAGCTCCCATTCATCAAAGCTATGGTTGACTGTGCCGGGCTAGAGCTGCAAACTAATCTGCTTCAGCCCCACACTGCTGCTCACCTACCTCTCATTAATCTAATTCCCAGGGACAATGTGTTTGTGTGCATATCAGTGCTCATTCTGTAATGTATGAGTGTAGAGCATGTGCCCGTATTTGGTTGGTGTGTAAAAATACACTGAGAACAATATAGCTGAAGATACATTTTTGTCATTACAGTCTGGCTCTTGTCTGCTAAAATACAAATTCTCCTACAGGAAACTGCCAGAATTAAAGAAAATTGGTGAAGAAATATTCACCGGGTGGCTGTGGCTTACGAGGTAGGGCAGTCGTCTTCTAACCAGCAAGTTGGTGGTTCGACTCCCGGTCTCCCCGCATGCCTAAGTGTCCCTGAGCAAGACACTGAACCCCAAATTGCTCCCGGTGGTTCGACTGGCGCCAGTGTGCGGCAGCCTCTCGTCATCGGTGTGTGAATGTGTGTGTGAATGGGTGAATGGTGTATAATCTCCTGTAAAGCGCTTTGGCCAGTGTAACACACTGTGAGAAAGCGCTATATAAAATACAGTCCATTTACCATTTACAATAACACTGACAGCTCATCTTCCTGGGAGTGTGCATCCACTAACACCCTTATAGAAAGAGGTGAAGAAATTATTTACCGTGTTCAGAGGAGAAAAAGTGAGATAAGAGAGAGAAGTCGAAAACAGAAAGGAAGATGGAGTAATGTACAGTATTTCAGTTTGTAGAGAAGGCAGACAAACAGACATGTAGCTTGGTTTATTGTAGATTGAACAGTAGATTTTCACCCACTTGCTTTTAAGCACATTTTCAGTTTAATTAAAAAAAACATCAAATTGGAAAAAAAAAAAAACATTTTTGGAGAAGCTGAGACGAGACAAGAGGAAGAGCAAAAGGTTGTTGGAAGCAGATTTGTCCAAAACACCTTGATGTTGCAATACCTCCTTATGCTTTTGGTTTTGTAGAAACACTTTCAATTCCAGTTACATACCACCACTTCACCATAAAGCCTCCAGAATAAAGCATAAAATAGTGGGTATGAGGGGTATACACAGCTGGAATGGTCTTAGTTTGAGACCAGTTGGGGCCCTTGATTCATGTCCCCTCTCTCTGTTATAATAGTGTCTGATTAAAAAAGACCACAGGGGATATGTTGATTAGAGGTAAAGTAATTCACTTAAAAAAAATCACAACTTCCATCTTAGCAGCAAAGAAATAGTGTAATATATCAGAGGTACACTACTGGTGCTGAATTACTACAGTGCAGGATAAAGCTTTAATGTCCCGGAGGGGAAAACTGAAGTACAGACAGGAGTCAGTAAGTGACACTGGAAAAAAAATCATCTATGGATTAAAACAGCAATCGGTACAAAGACAAAGGTTAATGTCAGTTGTCACAGACTTTTCACCAAGAGCTATTTCGTTGTACAGTATGTTGTTGATGCAAATGTGCACTGATTGACATTTTAATGTGCCCAAGCTTCCAAAATTTTCCACAATTTTGTCTTTCATTGGCAGAGAATGAAATTTGAATCCAGTCAATGCTCTGTTGCCAAAGAAGCAGTGGCAGTAGTGACACAACCACAGAGTGCATAGAGTCAAGCCAGTGATTATGCACATGCTCAGAAATAGATGTCCGCATTAATTTTCCTGCTGTTAAGCAAGGAGGAGACAACAGTATCACTGTGTAAAATGTATGCTTTGGGTCAAGAGTTGATGTTTTTCTGGCATGTCCTCGTTTTGCCATCGTTTTTTGTGTTGACCTGCCTAATGAATTGAGGTCACCATACTAAAACTACACATAATTTACTGAGCAGCAAAGCTTCAAGTTGACATAATATATTTTTGTTTGTCCCACACTCTCCACAGTCCAGCCGTGTTCTACATTTTTGTCCTTTCTGCAGTCGATTCATTATTTTACTCTGTGTTTCTTCAAACATCTCTCCTTCTCTTACCTCATTTATTTCCTCTTGACCAGTTTCCTCTTCTGTCCTCCTCCTCCTCCTGCTCCTCCTCTCCTCACGGCCATGCTTCACTGCTCCCTGTATTAATTGTGGTTTAAAAAATTCCCAGCTGAGGCTTGGTGGGATTGTTGAAGCCAATGACTCAGAACTACAGTGCAAGAGAGTGAAAGCTTGGACTCCTTACAGAAGCTGTTCCACCCTGCTGATACTGCCTTGCCGACCGGAAGGAGCAGCTCGTTGGCACCCACTGCCGAGAACTGGCACTTGGTTCACAGTCATCGGCATCTGCAACACTCCACCTGCTCACATTATTACACTTAGACATGTTAGAAGATAAAGAGTCCTGAGATATTGAAATCTCAGCAGTGAAACATATTTAGTAAATTAAACATTCACGCTAAATGCTTTTAATGACTGTTTTCAAATCATAACTGGAAGGTTTCATTAACCTTAATGGTCTCTTTGGGGTCCTGGAGACTCATGAAAAGCTTAAAAAACACACAAAGTTGTTTTATCACCTTTGTACTTCATGACTTTCTAAGAGTTTATATACAGTACATGTTTAAGACCAACTTAAATTTGAATTCGCCACACTCTTTGTGCAAGGAAATGCAATCTAAAATCTTAGGATGTAATACTCGACACCCAACACTACATTGTGTCTGAATCCTTCCTATCTAGGCACACTGAGCTAACATGCTGCTCATGCCCTCTGACTACACACAGTGTAAGAGTTAATTACAGGAGTTAAGAGTTCCATGGCCACATGTGAATGCCACAGTAAATCAGAAATGTTTTTTTTTTGTTTGGTTGTGCAAAGATTAGCAAAGATGCTGTGTAAGCCATGTCTTTATCTCCTGGTTGGAGTGCTGAATTCTGTGCTTTGGATCTGCTTTTATTTGAGATAGACATTACTGAAGCAGAGATTAAGTGAACCTCTGTTGCCATGCCAATCTATTTTTGGTTACACAATAAGGTGCAAAGTGTGGGTTGGTCAATATTTATATGCACGTCGGTTTTCTTCTGTCAATTTGCACATCTCCTTTTTCTCCCCCATGTTCCACCCTCCGCCCTGCCCTTGATTCATCAGTCCGCTCTCGCTCCACCTCACTAACCTTTGTCTTTCCATCTTCCCGTTTAATACGATCCTCTCACTTCAAAGCCTTTATGACTCTTCTTAGCTCCCCAATATTTATGTAATGGGTACTTTCAGCACCATTTTGCATTCAAGCATCTAAAATATGGTTGGTATTTTACCCCCATCTGGCCATAGCGCTGAGCAAGCTTCTTTTGTTAAAGCAGGAGAAAATTGGCCTAACACAGTCAGCCTTATAGCGCTAACACTTAATGGTACTTAGCTTCTCCAACTACTCCCTTCTGTGCTGTATTAGCAAAGTGGTAGCATGGGGCTAACATTCTACAATAGATTGTCCAAACAAGTTCAGAGACATAAAAGTATCAAGTCTGCTTTTTTCCTCTGTTTTTAAAAAGGATTGTTGACTAAGAACTAGAACACCAAATTAAAAACGACATTTTCCTCAGCTGTTAACAAATCTGTGCCGGTTTCCTCCCAAGCAGGCACCGGGGCAAAGGAGCAAAAGGAGCCGTTGGGGTCCAACCTAATGCCTTATAATTACCCTGAATTATCGTCCTATCTGCTCGCCATCCCACGTGTTACAAAGGCACTCATAACAAGCATTAATAATTACACCATACTCCACTCATATTTTATCAGCTGCCCAGATCCCCTTCATACTGACTGGATGATTAAATTTTGGATTTTATACAAGGATTTGCAATTGAACTGTGAGAAATTTTTGCTCAAGGGGTATACTGTACTGATTTATGTAAAATGCGTGCTGTGTTGTAGAAGTAGCTGCTTCATATTGTGCATATTGGCCTAATAACAAATTCCAGTTTAAAAGACATCACAAAGTTTTTGTTTTCATGTCAGAGAACAATGTCGTACCTTCAAAAGCTCTGTAATATCAATATGCAGGGCACAGTTACTGCTGCTGTAATCTCATTTTGTTTGTTGTTGTGCTTCCTCACTCTGTTCTTCTACTGAGAATATATACCTTATCTGTCCCCTTTCATAGTGTTTCCAGCTGTGCACACCGAATTCCCTCTAGCTTCCCACTCCTGTACTTAACCTTAAGCCATGTTTTTTTTTTTTGTTATTTTTCTTCTGTTAAGGGCGGGCTCTGATGAGACTGACAGATAGAAAGCTGGAAAGAATGGGTATCATGCATGATGCCCAGAGGCAGCACATTCTGCAGCAGGTCCTGCAGCTTCGTGTGCGGGAGGAAGTCAGGACTCTTCAACTTCTCACACAAGGTAGACTTTTCAGCATCTGTTTTTCACCCAGCATATTTTCCTCACACGTTTCACCATATTACTTTAAGTCACCTTTAGCATATAATAATAATATATAAGCTTCAGCACACTGTGATCACATATAATATCTGTATCTCACCCAGATAGATTATTCACAAGGAGACTGACATCTCATATTTTGATAAATATTCAAATCATTTACTGTGCAGTATTTATGCTCATGCCATCTGTAGTCATGGCAATCGCTGCATGTTTTAAAGCCTGCAGCAAGTGATAAATCAAAACTGATGATGCAACTACAGGAGTCGAGAACAAATTGTCTCTTTTGGTTACTTGTTGTGATCACAGAGTCTGATTCTTATATATGATGACTTGTCTATGTTAAAGGTCACAGTTATGTCTTGGTGCCATTTAGAGCTATCCTGCTACATACTTACCTGGTAGTGCTGTGAGGTCTGCCCACATGAGAGTTTAAAAAGACAACATTTTATGGTGAAATCAATTCACTCCAGTAGAATTGTCACAATCAGAGCATCTGCTCAAGGAGTCGAAAATAACCCAGGCACGTAAACACAATTCATCTGTAGCAACCAATAGCAAGCTGTCTTGACAGCGATGACTTTTGAGGAAATGGAGAGCCAGAGTTCAAAATAGGGGGAGGTATTGTAGCTAACTATTTTCCTTTTGCATAGCTGAATTTGGGAAACAGTTTGAAAGACATTTTTACATTCATTCGTCTTCTTCATTCTTGCTTTCGTTGACTCACTGCAGCAATTCTTGGTGCATCAGTAGAGTCCAGCATGGCATATTATGTCGCATGCATCTTGCACAAGATATTAAAAACATTGCACCATAGAGCGTCTAGCTGTCAAAACCTCTGTAGGGTATCTTTAAGATTGACAACTACTTTATTTACCTGCACTGGTCGGGAAATGACGACTTAGGCTGGGGTTAAGCTGTAAAGTCATTTCACAACTGCAGAGTCTAGAGGGTCGGCCTTCAGTATTGTATGCAATGTGCTTATCTCAACAATATGTGTAGATGCTATTTCACTCCAACACAAGCACAAGGATAATCAGTGCTGGTGCGCTGACAGAAGCGCAAATACCTTTACATTTTTGGAAGGCATTGAGACGATTAATATGCTAAAAAGGAAAAGCATTATCAGTTCACTTAACTTGGGGGAGAGATCTGCACTGAAAAACTGTAGATATCTCTGAATTCACAGTACATTATATGAAATAACCTTTAGGCAAAAACAAGACTACAAAGTATACTGATTAACTGCTGAACTGACATCTCTTCCACTAACAGTCTTCAGGTTCGCTTCCTTAAGACACAAGTCACAGTTGAGTGGACAATAAGCAACACAATCTTAAGTGTTGCAATTGAAAATATGCAACAGAGGAACACAGGCTATTAGATAAAAGAATTTTTATTTCTAAATAAATGTGCTTATTACAGCAAAGTAATTACAGATTTTATTTTATTTTTTTACAGTAAATATTATATTCACAGAAGATCCAGTCATAAAACTGCTTTAGACTATTGCCTGTTTAAGTTCACCTTTTCCTAAGATGCTCCAACAACATTAACTTTACCACTGTTGCCAGTGCTTATCGGGTTTTCCCTATAATCGTGTAAGGTCTAGGCCTGATTATGTAAAGTGCCCTGAGACAATTGTTGTTGTGCATTGGCTCTAAACAAATGAATTGAATTGAATTTGCATTTCATCACACACGTATGTATGTATATTGTGCTATGGAAGAGGGCACTGTCATCCTTTATTTTAATCTATGCACACTTCGGCACCCCGCAGTTCCTCAATTTAACCTCATTTCTTTGTTTTCTCCAAAATGTGTTTGCGTCCTCTGAAGCACGTTTCATAACAGCCATGCAGGCACTGTTGTTTTCCATCCTCTCCTCAGTCCCATGATTCTCAGCTTCCCTGGTCTCCTCCGTAACTATTCTCACAGCTGCCCTCCTCCATCACCGCTACCAGCAGCATGACGGCTCACACCACTACTACCATCAACACCTGTCTGCCTACAGACTCTCAAACAAGGCTTTGCCACGGGGCCTAAGAAAGAAATTCTAGGGATCTTTTTCACTCCAAGAAATACTTGGAAAACATTTGGAGTGCAATACAGCAGCCTTTCTCCCTCCCATCTCTGTTTTGGTCCCCTAGAAAGTGGAAAATAGAGTGTGCAAGAGAGTGGCTGAGGCACGGCACTATCCTAAGGACAACTATACCTTATTTTCTTTGGTTTTTTGACACACCTTTCCTGCTCTTTTCCACTCTCCTCTCCCCTGTGTTGATGATATGGGAAGTGACAGCCCACCAGCCTCAGC